GAGAGAGAGAGAGAGAGAGAGAGAGAGAGAGAGAGAGAGAGAGAGAGAGAGAGAAATTAGTATGAACATTCCTTGAAAAACTAAAAATTGAAATATTTGACCCAGCTATTTACCTTGTAGGCATCTTCCTGAAAGAGTTAAAAACGTATTACAGTGACACATGCAAACCCACATTTACACCAGCACAAATCATAATAGCTAAAGCTTGAAAGTGGGCTATATGTCCATTAACAGATGAATGGATAAAGAAAATGTAGTTTTATGCACAATGGAGTATTATTCTGCTATAGAAGATGAATTTGAGTCATTTATATGAAAATGGATGCATCTGGAGACCATAATGTTAAGTGAAATCAGATGTGAAAGCTTAGTACTTGGTTTGTCATATCATAAACCCAAATAAAGAATAAAACAAAAGACTAGAAAACAGTGACATAGATCTTTTGCAAATGCTAAAAGGGCTAAGAGATGAGAGGAGGTGAAGGATTGGGAAGGGGACATCAAATTAATGTGTCACGTATATGTACCCACACACCCCCCAAGTGCCAAAAATCTCCATCTCGACAGTTACTGTGGCATTGTCCAGCAGTAAAGGGGGGGTGGGCAGGTTCCAGAGCTGCCTTGCGAAGCTCACTTGAAGAAAAGCTAGGGTGTGGAAGACTGTCTAATGGGGAAAACCAGGGCTCCAGATGCAGGAAGACTTCTGTGTAGTACATGAGACAGAAAGGAAGTAGTTGTCTTCAGGAGACAGACCACCTGGAGGCCCCAAATGGGAGTGGAAAGAGGAGTGAAGTCACAGCTCACCATGCTGTGTGAAGGCACGAGGTGGCACAGGCACTCTCTCTGGGTTAAAGACATGCTTTGGACTGGAAGAAACACAACTCAGAAGTCCCACAGCTGGGCTACATCAACCCTCCCTCCCAGCCTAAATCTGTGGCAGGGCCAGGTCCCAGCGCTCTGGTACCAGAATTAACAGGCTCAGCCCAGAGTCTCCATAGTTTAAATACAATTCCAAAGATCTCCATTCAGCCAATGAGTTATTTTTCATTACACACTGAAAGTCAGATGTTTTTCTTAATTTGAAAATTACATTTTTATTTGAAAAATTTAAAAACTGTGGTTAAAGAAATAACATAAAAAATAAACAAGTATAGGCAGGGGAGTTAGCTCAGTGATCTAAGCACCTGCCTGGCAAGCTCAAGGACCTGGGTTCAATCCCCAGTATCACATGCCATGCTGGCCCTGCCCTGGAAGTGTAATGCCAGCCCGAAACTGGGGGTGGTGGCGCACACTGTAATCCCAGCACTGGGGAGGCCAAGGCAGGAGGATCACTACAAGTCTCAATTGTGTAGGAGACTTCATACCAAATACATATATAAAAATGTTTTTTTAAATTAAAAAAGGTATGAAAAAGAGAAAACAAAAGGTACTCCATCTTTCCACAGCTCCCTACCTTGATTTTTTAACAGAGCAGCTATGTCTCTTCCCATTTCTCCCTCTTTACAAATAAGTGTCTTTCATCGAAAAAAAAATGTGATTAAAGAGGCTGGGGATGTAATTGTCCTATAGCACTGCCTAGAATAATGGAGCCCTGAGTTTGATCCTCAGCACCACAGGAAAAAAAAAAATAATAATTAAATACATATGAATATAGTTTTGGTGTTTTTCCAGTCCTGGTATTTGAACCATGGAGTACTCTACCACTGAGACAGGGTCTCACGTAGTACCAGACGGCCTGGAACTCAATCCTTCTGTATCAGCCTCCTGAGTGTTGGGATTACAGGTGTTTATCATCAGACATGGGTTTTGCCCTGTTTGTTTTCTTCTTTTGAGAGCATCTTGCTAAAATTACACAGTCTGGGCTTAAACTTGCAATCATGTGAGTCAACCCCTCAGTGTGGTAGTTGGGAAAGCCTGGCCCACCTTACTCATAAGTGTACAGTTCAGTAGTGCTCCTTCCACTCACACTGCTGTGCAACTGATCTCCAGAACACTTTGCACTTCGCAAATGTTAATTTCCACTTTTTTTTTTTTTTTTTGCAGTACCAGGGATTGAACTCAGGACCCTGGGCTGGCCAGGTAAGTACTTATTCTACTGTGTTATCTTCCCAGGCCCTCCGCACTCTTTACAACACTTTTTTTTCTTTTTCCGTACCAGGGATTGAACTCAGGACCTTGTGCTTGCCAGGCAGGCACTTATGCCGCTGAGCTATCTCCCTGGCCCCTCCACACTCTTTAAACATTAGACAAAATATCGTGTCTGCCATCTTGTACTCTGAATAACCACTACGAAAACAATATGCAATTTAATTACTGTAACTGCCCTACTAACCTGTTGTGAAACTGTCTCATTGCTATTTCTTTCTCAATAAAATAAAATTAAAAAAAAAAAACCATGAAGGAATTTTTAGTTGGTAAGATCAACAAGTCATTAGTGTGAATCTGAAGTGCGTTTAAAAATTTATAATGCAACCAGAAGCAATCACTTGGTGTATGCTGAGGCCCCTAGGGGAATCCATAATGGGATGACCTCCAAACTACCTATCATAGCACTCACTGTTTTGTTCTACTTTCCTGTACTTTTTGTGCACATCTCAAAACTTCCTCAATAACAAGGTTGAACCAAAGGCCTTCACAATGAGCTCTGTCCCCAACACTCTGTCTGTCCATTTATCTACCTAAGACAGGGTCTCACTAAGCAGTCCTGGCTTGCCT